GTCCTGCTGCTACCCCATGAGACTGGGAAGACCCACAAACCAGGCTGTGCTTGTGAAAGTACACCCTCCTCACTGCAGTGCCTCAAAAAAGCACCTGACAGCTCCTTGAGGCTTGACTAAAAGTCACCAATTATCTGTCTGCTCATCACTGCCCTGAGGAGAAAGGTATGCAAACCATAGTGCTGGTGCACTGGCAGAGTATGCTGAAGATTACTTTCTTGGCCAGGAAGATCCATAAAGGGGTGCCAGACCCTGAGGGACAATCGTGGACAAATTAAAGTGTTTAAAATTGCAGTTTGCTGCAGTCCTAGGCCTGAGGCACCAAGTGCCTCAGGCACCTATAGGTCCATCAACATTTCTGAGCACCCTTCATAAGGCCTGCAGGGTTCACAGGACTGGGAGACGAGTGCTTGGATCCAGCCCAAACCTCACTAAGGACGACCAGCAAAGCACGTTGCATCCCATCTTGGCTCACCCTCCTGTGAGTGGTCTCCCAGGATGGCTACCAAACCATGTCCTGCAAAACACAGGTGTATCAGGTACATGCCTGTCCAAAACAGCCTGCGTGCTCTGCCTGCCCAGAGAGAGGGAGAACTCTCTGGGCAGGCAGAAGAAGGGGAACTGCTGGCCAGGGGAGGACCTGGGTCTGACTTTCTGCTTTACTCACATAAAATATTTGCATACTCATTGGCATCAAGACTGAAACCCGGGTCAGTAGCCTGGTGAAAAAAAGGAGGGCACAATGTAGTAGGAGAAATAAATTTTCCCAGACTCCACATCAGATACAACGGCTTCAGTAGCTAAGTGAGGGCAGTGGATTTGTGGCAGCCCTGCAGCTCTCAGAGCTGCCTCTGCTGCCCGTGGAGGGGCCCCGGCTGAAGCTCACCCTGCACAGGCAGTCACTCTTAGTGCCTGTGCACAAGCAAAACGAGGTTTGTAAGCCAGTTCACCTCTTTTATCGGAGCAGTGAGGTTAGCTGGAAAAGGAGAGAAGCTTTCAGTGACCTGAAGAAAGGTTTGTGTGCCTGAATGCCTGTCTCTCTTCTCCCAGTGTTGCTACAGCTCCCACTGCCCCAGCACGGGGTACTACGCCTCTCCCTGTCAGTCACATATGTCACAGTAACAGCATTGACACCAGTCCAACGTGGACACTGTCATCATCTTCAAAGAAATGATATTTTCTTCACTCAGTTTCTAGACAATATTATTATTATGAAGCCACATGAGCACTTCACTATAACGCACTGAGTTCAGGACTGTATTTCTTAAGATAATAATATATAAAAATTTGAGCATGCTGCAGAATAAAAATTGCTCTATAATGAAAAATCACTCCTTCATGGAGGATATGAATGGGTTAAATATGGAGCCAAA